TATATATATATAGTGTTGTTTAATTTTATTTTTTGGAAACTCTCACATTGTACTTAGGGAGGAGCATGGTGCACAACCGTCGAAGAGTGTCTGAATCGTTCCAAATCTGACTTTGGTTCCTCAAAATATATGAAACCGTGGTGGTTTATAGGAATTTACAGCAAGACTCAGAGTGTAAATCCAGGTTCTGATCTTTGATTAAACTATTACAAGATTTTTTTTATCACAGCAGTTTTATTTTTTAATATGATGTTTCCTAGCCCTTAATTGGGACATTTTTATTCTGTTCTATTAGACATGTCATGACCTGTTTTCTTGATGTAAAATATACAGATTTCTACAATTGGAACAAAGTATTTGTTAGATACTGTGATGGTGGAGCGTTCACAGGAAATGCTGAATACGTTGATCCTGTATGTTCTCTAATTTTAAGTTACTATATAATTTATTATTTATAATATGTAAACATTTACTAGAGAAGAAACTAGCTCTCCTTACTTTTGAGATTATCTTTTTTCCCATGAATTTTACAAGAGAAATATGGAATTAAGTCTAATCACATTCTTCTCTTTATTTTTAAGGCTACCAATCTTCACTTTAGGGGAGCAAGGATTTTTAAAGCAGTAATGGAGGATGTTCTAGCAAAAGGATTGAAGAACGCGCAGAGCGTAAGTAAATTTTAATTTGTCAACTTTTTTCAACGAAAAAAAATCAGAAATAGCTTGATTTACAATTAATAAAATCATATCTCCTCCACTTTTAACACATACTAAGTTAATTATTGCAGGCACTTCTTATCGGAAGTTCTGCCGCAGGATACCCAGCAATGCTATACTGTGATCGCTTTCATAAATTGTTGCCAAATACTCCTAGAGTGAAATGCATGGTTGATGCTGGTTATTTTATCCACGTGTAAGATTTTTATGCATACACATATTTTTTTGTTTAACAAATGATATATTTATACCTGCAATCTAACATTTGGAGCTCTCTTTTTCAAATTATAGGAAGGATCCTCACCAAGCAAGAAATTTTACGCAAATGTATAAAGCAATTGTTAATTTACATGTAAATTCCTATTTCTCTTAGTTAATTATTTTCAAATATATAGAAACATGTTTTTTTTTTATTTTTTGGAACAAACTAATAAGGAAAGCGTGTCATAAAAATTGAAACGGACGTAGATAAGTAATTGTTAAGGAATAAGCAGGGATTTATTCTGTTGTTTTGTTTTTTGGAACAAACTCTTGCTGGTTTGTATGATCTAAACTTATTTATCTGTGCTACTGTGCAGGGATCTGCCAAAACGTTACCAAAATCATGCACTTCGAAAATGAAACCTGAAATGGTACAAACTGCTATACCTATTGAATGAGTTGTTGTTTTGGATCTTTAATTTTTGCCAGTAAACTAATGGTCATATATAAAATTGTTCCAATTCACTACGCGCAGTGCTTCTTCCCGGAGAACATGCAACACAAAATCAAGACACCACTCTATATAGCAATGTCCGCATTTGATAAATTCCAGGTATATTTATCAATTGTTCTCCTTCTGTTTATTGATCCGAGGGTCTATTGGAAACAGTCCTTCTACCTTTACTAGGTAGGGGTAAGGCCTGCGTACATACTATCATCCTCAAATCCCACATATGGGAATATATTGGTTTGTTATTATCGTTGTTATTGTTGTTGTTATTATCCTTCCATTTACTATGGTCCGCGACAGAATCAAGAATTCACTTAGGGTGATCAAGATTTAATATATA